AAATGAATTTGCTTACATCACTGATTCACTGAATTGTTTGGACAGGTCGTTAACTCTGGCCTGGAGATTTTTTTCCTCCGTGAAAAGTGAGAAGTCTGGGGTAAATGACCTCTAACAATCCTTTCTACCTCGGAAGTGTTTGCCAGCCCTCTCCTGATCAGAGGCACTTCTTTTCCTTATAAATTGATCAAAGCATCAGATGTATGTTTTGCTCACCCCGAGAATGGGAAGGATGGCAAAGGACTGACTTTTTTTTTTTTAAAAAAACAACAACAACAAAAAACCTGCAACAAAAAGCAGACTGCAGAATTCGTCATGCTGGGGTCTGACCTGAAAGCAGGATATAGATCCTTTTGAAACAATGACCAATGGCAGCGGGAAACTAATCAATCGGAAGCATAATTCATGAACTCAGTGTGGTTAATTCCCTCAGTGTTCTGGCATTCTCTCTTTAGCCACGAGAGAGTAGGTGCTTTAAATGAGAACACCCAAAATGATTACTTCATGAGGTGGAATCTAATACCAGCCCTGCTCTAGTGAGGGGTCTGTCTGATCAGCCCTCCTTTGCCCAAGTTATTTTTGGCTCACCAGTTTACTGTCACTGAACTTTATGCGACATCGAGCATGGTTTTGTCCTACACTTTCTCTACTATTTCCAAACTTTCCTGTATAAATAACACAGTATCTATTAACACGTATTGAGTGGCCTCAGGGTTGAGCTCGCGTAATTCATTTAAGAAAACTGAAAAATATGCAACTACTTTTTCTCTTTGTCGGTTCACCTTTATAAAAACACTGGGCATTTCAACTGTAATCATTTCTCTGCTTAAGGCCACAGTAACAATGAGGATGTATCCTTTTCCAAGGTAAAGTGCATTCAGTTGAACTTCTACATTTCTATTTAATACCAGGGGCTTGACGAACATGCCAGGTATGTGTGCCGGCATGCCTAAAACTCCAAAAGGAGGGAGGAAAGGAGAATGGATTGTTGTGTGACCATTCTCCATGGGGGTGTTAAGTAGTTTCTCTCTGGAGAGTATATATGCCTTCCGGCAAAATTTAAAAAAAAGAAAAGGCAAGCAGAAAGAGAGTATGTATCTACTTATATATTGAGAATGAAAATGGATTTTTTGGGCGTGTATGTATACATGCATGAATATGAAAATTCTCAGGAAACCTACCGAAGGACAAGTGTAAACATCTTGGCAGTTACTTTGGAAAATAGCACGGAGTGTGGGGACTGAAGCAGTACCTGCACTTGACAACAGTCTTATTTAAGTGTTTAACAAAAATAGCTTCTATTATTAAACATGTAAAAATCTGTAAATAATGAGCTTTGAGTGACAACCCGATGTCTTCTTACAGAGAATATAAGCTTTAATGGTTAGTTTCTGTCATCTCTGTTTTAACTGTCCGAAGGCCCTTTCTAGTTTACTATGGATTGCTAGTCAATGCGATAATTTTCTTTATCTCTGAGCAAGCCTTCAGAAACTGAAAGAGCAGAGAGCAAAGTCTTAAGTTCTGAGTCTATTTTCACTTCTGGCGGTTAACAGATAGGAAAAGGAAGTTAGACGTACGGGCATGAAAACACTGACTCGCTGAGCCTGTCAGTTTCCCCATCTACAGTACGAATAAGACACACAGCGTACTGTCAACACCATTCTGATCGAACGAGACACAGAAAGTTTTTAAAATCTCCAAAAGTAACCACTGCTTTTTAGGTCCATTCTAAATCTTTTATCAGAAATCAGGCACTGTTTTGGTCAACACAGAGGATGTTACTGAATTCACGCTAAGAGGAGTAAAACCAATCATGACCTGCATTGGCTTATTCTTACTCTACTCCATGAGTATTTAAGGAAGATCAGCTGGAACAGAGCTCCTAGCCTTGTGAGGGTGTATTTGTCTGGACTATAAAATTAAAACACAACTTCATGTGCTGTAAAGAAAAATAAAAAACAGTTTAGAAAAGGTTCATTATAGTTGGAAAAGCATCACTGATTCTGATATCAACAGTAACATCTTCTCAACTCAAACATTACTATCAAGGTGTCTGTATTCATGAAACACTAACCAAAATGGTAACCCACACTCGGGTCTCATTCTATAACCTTGCCACTTGACAAAGGGAAGGCTGAGATGTAGAAATGAATTTGCTTACATCACTGATTCACTGAATTGTTTGGACAGGTCGTTAACTCTGGCCTGGAGATTTTTTTCCTCCGTGAAAAGTGAGAAGTCTGGGGTAAATGACCTCTAACAATCCTTTCTACCTCGGAAGTGTTTGCCAGCCCTCTCCTGATCAGAGGCACTTCTTTTCCTTATAAATTGATCAAAGCATCAGATGTATGTTTTGCTCACCCCGAGAATGGGAAGGATGGCAAAGGACTGACTTTTTTTTTTTTAAAAAAACAACAACAACAAAAAACCTGCAACAAAAAGCAGACTGCAGAATTCGTCATGCTGGGGTCTGACCTGAAAGCAGGATATAGATCCTTTTGAAACAATGACCAATGGCAGCGGGAAACTAATCAATCGGAAGCATAATTCATGAACTCAGTGTGGTTAATTCCCTCAGTGTTCTGGCATTCTCTCTTTAGCCACGAGAGAGTAGGTGCTTTAAATGAGAACACCCAAAATGATTACTTCATGAGGTGGAATCTAATACCAGCCCTGCTCTAGTGAGGGGTCTGTCTGATCAGCCCTCCTTTGCCCAAGTTATTTTTGGCTCACCAGTTTACTGTCACTGAACTTTATGCGACATCGAGCATGGTTTTGTCCTACACTTTCTCTACTATTTCCAAACTTTCCTGTATAAATAACACAGTATCTATTAACACGTATTGAGTGGCCTCAGGGTTGAGCTCGCGTAATTCATTTAAGAAAACTGAAAAATATGCAACTACTTTTTCTCTTTGTCGGTTCACCTTTATAAAAACACTGGGCATTTCAACTGTAATCATTTCTCTGCTTAAGGCCACAGTAACAATGAGGATGTATCCTTTTCCAAGGTAAAGTGCATTCAGTTGAACTTCTACATTTCTATTTAATACCGGCTTTAGAAAACCACTTGTGGGTCTCTAGGTTTTCTCAGCAGCATGGAGGGTCAGTCCACAGGATCATTAAAATACTCCCCGTGCCAATATCAGACATGAGATACGTAAGTATCAAGTTTCTTCAGCTCAGTAACTTGGGCCAGTCTGGTGTGGTGGTTAAGGCAGCTAGATCCTACATGGCCAATCACACAGTTCAAGTCTCAGATGTCGCAGTTTGAAAAAACATGTCGGTATGCATGCATTCAAGCCCAAAATCCCAAAAGAAGAGAGCTCTGAAGAAGAGATTGAATTACGATAATAATAAAGTTTAAAAATTACTAAAAAACAAAACAACAACAACAACAACAAAAAAGGACAGAAAAAAAGAAAAAAAAAAGAGAAGGGATTGAGGTGTGAGCAGTCCCCTTGGGGGTGGGGAGGTGTGATGTTTTCTCATATTCCCTCTCACACATTTGCACACGACCTCTGGCAAAATAAAAATAAGTAAATAAAAAACATAAGGAATTTGGATACTTGGAGGCTGCCATGATAAATTCAGAAATTGAAAGTTCAGAAAACTTTCTAAAATTCAAGATATTAATAAATTTAGGGACCAGCAGTTAGCATAATGGGTATGTTGCTGGACTCCCACGTAGTCAACCGTGGTTCGAGTCATGGACCCGGTGGCTTAAACTCACACCGGACGCGTGAGCGTGCGTGCCCAGATCCTGAGAGGAGAATAAAGGAGGGATTGCGGCATGGCCATCCCCCCTGGGGGGTGATTTCTTGCTTTCTGTCTCTGTCTCTCTCTGTCTGGTGAGTGCATGCGCCCTATAGCAAAAACCTCTCCAAAAAAAAAAAAAAAAACTTTCTCAGGAACCAGCAGTTAACGTAATGACTATGTGACTGAACTCCCATGTAGTCGACCGCGGTTCGTGTCCTGGACCTGGTGGCTTAAAACTCACGCTGGGCGCGTGTGCGTGCGTGCCCAAGATCCTGAGAGGAGAATGGAGGAGAAGGGATTGCAGCGTGGCCATCCCCCCTGAGGGGTGATTTCTCGCTTTCTGTCTCTATGTCTCTCTCTGTCTGTTTGGCAAGCGCATGCGCCCTATAGCAAAAACCTCTCCAAAAAAAAAAAAAAAAAGATATTAATAAATTTAGACGCAAAATCTACTTCTGAACTATCTCTTTCTAATAAGAAAGTAATGATCAACACATCATTAAAAGGAAATAATGAAAACTTTGTTTTAGGATCTTGATAATATATATAATATTCTACTGAGTTGCACAGGGTGAGAATTTCTGAGTGTATCTTTTTTTTTTTTTTCAGAGAGATTTTTGCTATAGGGCACATGCGCTCGCCAGAGAGACAGAGACAAAAAGTGAGAAATCACCCCCTGGGGGATGGCCAGGCCACACTCACTTCTCTTCCCTTCTCCTCTTAGGATTTTGGGCATGCACTCACACATGCTTGGCATGAGTTTTAAGCCACTGGGTCTGGGACTCGAACTGCAGTTGACTCTGTGGGAGTCCAGTGACATAATCACTATGCCATCTGCTGGTTTCATTTTTTTTTTTTTAATTGTCAGATGGTACATGCATTTGCCAGAGGGAGAAAAACAGAGAGAGGGGGAAAGACAGAAAGCAGCTCCCATGAGGTATAGTCACGCTGCATGCGAGTCCTTCTCCTTCATTTGTCAGGAGTTGGGCATGCACACATACATGCTTGGTGGATTTTTTTCAACCACACCAGGGCAGGATTTGAACTGTGGTCCGTCATGTGGGATCAACCTCCCTTAACCACTAGGCTATCGGGCCAGCCCTGATATGTCCGTTTTGTGTATGAAGAATTAGAACTCATTTTGTAGACTGTCATGATGCATTTTTGCATAGAAAACAGAAATATGTCATAATTTTCTGACAACCTAATAGTATATAAATATTGTATAATATACTTACATAGGCTGAAGTCAAGAATATTTTATTCAATGAGGTAGATAAAAATACAACTCATACATAAAGCATTTTCAAGTGTCCACATTATTATGGAATTTAGATACAAGGTATCTGAATTTAAGCTGTCAATATTAAATGTTCTTCATAACTCATGTCTATTTAAATAATTTTCAATGTTTAGCATACTTAGTAAGATTTTTATTTAGCTAAAGTAACCACAAAAAAGATATAAGGCAAAATAATTAATTTTATTTCTTAAATGACTAAATATTTACAATAATAAAAAATTTCGTGCACTATATAACTTATGAGATACTATACTTTCACCTTTACTAAAAATGAAAACTCTCGGAAAAATTTAAATCAACCACTTATAAAGAAGTCAATGGCTGATCAGAAAATGTCAAGTGACTATTATTAGCCCAAGAGTTTATCATAATCATGAATAAAATTCAATCAGGAATACCATCATCTTAATCTTAAAATGATTCCTACAGTTTTTTAGAAATCTGATATAGGGACAATAAAGACTTGACAATTTTAAAATCTGATGTTGGGACAATAAGACTTTACTCCAGATTGTAGTCACATATGAACAGGTGGGGAATTTTTTAATTCAAGGTTTCATTATGGTCCACAGTATAAAGATAGACCTCATGAAAGTTACATGATGGATAACCAGCAAAAGAAATATGCTAGTACAGGGTGGTGACCCGCCAACTACGCATGCACTGTACCCACGACTTTGGGCCACCGTAAGTCCTTGATCATGGCCAGCTTTTCTATAACGAGTAGGTTCTCAAAGGTCACTGAAGTTTATAATGATCTCCAAACCATTCTCTTCGTGGTCATTTAAGCTTTGTCTAAACAGCTGGGTGTGTTGCCAAGCAACATGGCCATCTCCTTTGCTTAATTCTGCTTCCAGAATAACTTCAGTGGCACCAGAAAAATTATGATAGGAGTGAAGATTTTTATCTGTCGGAGGGGAAAGAAACATTAATATTTTGCTTTTGGTGATTTAAAGAGCATGAAAGTAGTTTGAGAACGCAACTGATACAAACTAACTTGCAGGTTAAAATAAACCCTTAAAAATATATATAAATTAGGGACCAGCAGTTGACGTAATGGCTACATCACTGGAAGCCCATGTAGTCAACTGTGGTTCCAGTCCCGGACCTGGTGGCTTAAACTCCTGCTGGGCACGTGTGTGTGTGCGTGCCCAAAATCCCGAGAGGAGAATGGAGGAGAAAGGATTGCAGTGTGGCCATCCCCCCTGGGGGGTGATTTCTCATTTTCTGTCTCTCTCTGTCTTTCTGGTGAGCGCACATGTCCTATAGCAAAAACCTCTCCAAGAAAAAAAGTATTTATATATGTATGTATGTATGTGTGTGTATGTATGTATATATATATATATATATATATATATGTTATTTTTTATGGAATAAGTGCAGCCTCTGAAAAAAAAAAGTTACCTTTCTCCTTATATTTGTATTTTTAACCACAAAAACATCAATTGTTCTGTTACTGTGGGTTTTCAGAGGTTTTTCTTTCAAAAAAAATTTTTTTACATGATAGTATGAATAACTATTGGGTACAAAAACGTTGGAGTCAAATCTGAAACCAGTACAATTAGTGCTCCCAGTGGTGGTAAATGAACGCCCCACAGTTCACCCGCCAGTCCCGTGCTCACCACCCGTCAGGTCGACTTGTCCGGCATCAGATCGCAGTCTCCACTGTATTGCTCCAGATTTGAAGGTCTGACTACTTGCTCTGATGGAAATGTTATCTACTTTGAGGCCAACTGACCCACATTCGAACTTCCAGGAAATATAAGCAAATGATGAGCCTTCCTTTCTGGCTAAGTACACCTAGAGAGTAGAAGAGAAAAGAACGATCAAAACTAATCAAATAGTGTAGGAAACAGTGACATTCTTACTGCTATAGGATCCTGTGTACAAACAGTTATTTAAAAAACGTTTCTTTTTCTTTTTTTCTGAGGTTTTTGCCATAGGGCACATGTGCTCACCAGAGAGACACAGAGAGCGGGAAAGTGAGGAATCATTCCCCAGGGGGGATGTCCACGCCATAATCCCTTCTCCCCCAGTCTCCTGCTGGGACTTCGGGCATACGTGCTCCTGGCTTGATTTTCAAGCAGCCAGGCCTGAGATTCAAGCCCTGGTCATTCATGCGGCAATCCAGTGCCTTAACCACCACGCCACCTGCTGGCCCCCCAAAACTAACTTTTCCCCATGGAAAACAGTCATTCAGCTAATATTTTTTTCAGTTTATAAACAGCTTTCCCTGAAGCATCTTTTGCTCTGGAAGAAAGGTATTATTTCAACAAAACTGCCCTGGTAAGGAAAGCAGTAAAAGGTGCATGCCAACAAAGTTTGGTGAATCAAACCCCCCCTTTTTTTTTTTTTAAGTTTTTGCTATAGGGTGTGTGCAGAGAGCAGATAGACAGACAAAGACAGTGAGAGGGAAAGTGAGAAATCACCCCGAGGGAGTACAGC